ATAATATGTGATGCAAATAAATATTTTTCTGAAATGTACATGATATCGGAAAATGTACTGTGTCGAATTGTACGGTGTCGAATCGTACGGTGGTCAATCGTACGGTGGTCAATCGTACCGTGGTCAATCGTACGGTGGTCAATCGTACGGTGGTCAATCGTACCGTGGTCAATCGTACGGTGGTCAATCGTACCGTGGTCAATCGTACGGTGTTAAATTCTTCGCGTCAAATAGAATGTGGTTAATCGTACGGTGGTCAGTCGTACCGTGTCGAATCGTACGGTGTGCTATTCTTGCGGTGTCCAATCGTACTGTGGTCAATCGTACCGTGTCTAATCGTACGTGTCCAATATTACGTGTGCAATCGTACTGTGTACAATTGTACCGTGGTCAAATGGACGTCACCCGACAATTTTGTATCTCTATCGTCCTGGTTCTTTCTATTCGAGTGAGCGTTCCAGTATAGTATATAGTTCTGTGATTGTATCAGATTTATAATGATGTAAACACCAGAATTATATCTTAAAAAACAAATTTTATTTGATACGCGTATAATATATGGTGTAAACTAGGTCATTGCTATCACAAACCAAGTTGCGTTCAGCAAACCAAGCTTTGTAGTAATCGAACGTGATTGGCTCTTACTTTTAGAACCAATCAACGTCGACTTTTCACAAGACAACTCAGTAATTGGTCTGCTAAGCTGCGTTCCAAAATTTTACTCTGTCAACTCTAAAGAAGGATAGTGGGGGTAAAGAGTAAACCAGAGTAAGTTACGAAATGGAACCGTTTTGGAACGCAAAATAGTAAGAGTCAGGACCTGAGTACAATAGAGAAAATATTAGGAATAAGAATTAGAAATAGAAGTTAAATATACTATACATTGACAAAAAATAAAATATAACATATAAATATAAATATAGAAAATATGTCATGGCTGCATGATATACAGCCTATATTTATATACATTTGTTATATTTTTTTGCGTTGTACATTACATTTAACCTCTGTTTTTCATTCTTATGCCTAATATTTTCTCTATTACGTTCAGATTCTCACAAAACGGAATTTTAACATTTTCAAGAAGTAGAGTTACAGCCATTATTTGATAAATCGCGTGCAAATGACGAAATTCATTCACTAACGTAGTGCGAGTAACCAAATTACTATTTACTATTAAAAATATAAATAGCGCGCTTTTCTTAGAGTTTACTCTTCCAACCCAACTTGAAAGCAGGGTTTATAGAGTTGACTCCGGGTATACTCAACCCTCACTTTTAGAACGAATAGGCTCCGCCTATATAGTTACTTATTTCGCGTTTTGGAACGGCGTAGAGTCAACTCAGCTACTCAGAGTAGAATTTTGGAACGCAGCCCTAAATGCGGATAATAACTCCGTTCTCTAATCAGTTGTTTTTCTGTTTGCTTTCCCAGTCTAGCCATCCTCCACTATAATTATAAGATCTGCAAGATGCACACAAAAATATTTCTTTTAGAAATTGCTATTTTAAAAACTATTACATCAGCCTACCTTACATAACCCAACTTTTGCATCTCTTCTTGTACCATTTTACTTCTTTTGCCAGATCGGCAGCTGAATATAATTTTTGTATTTTTAGTAGGTTTGGGTTTGCCATATAATTTTTCAAAATCTTCATCTGAAATATTCAACATTGTGTTCTTGACATCACCCACTAAATAAATAAAAGAATAGTATTATATTTTATTATTACATCTTATTCTACAAATGTCATATATAAAAATAAATAATAAATAATTCTACTTGGTATATGAATGCTCATGGGCAATTTGCCGGTCTCATTTATCTCGTCCTGTTCCCTAACATCGACAATTAGAATCTTATCATCTTTTTGCGCCTCCAGAAGCTGCTGATAATCGACATCGAGCGTCGATGCGTTTGCCATTTTACTCGTCATGATATTTGTATCTTGACTGGACAAACTTGAGAAGCACAAACTCGATATCGCTATTAGAAGAATCACAATATTTTTCTTACTCATATCTTTTAGATATTCGTCAAATGCAAACTTGAAAAAAAAAACTAAAACATTTAATATGACGTTATATATCTACCTGCCGGATAATTAGACGTGAGTCCTAAGAGTCGCCGATAAAATGGTATTATCGTTACGTTTGCGTCTCTACGCGAAAAACTTACTAACCTAAATATTTGATAAACTCGACGATGAAAGATAACGAGCATACTGGACATTTTCGTTAATTCCCGTGTCACATTCCTTACACATTCCTATGCGTAAAATTTAATTTTCTTCTAATAATTAATGATTTTACATATACGTACATACGTGAAGTCGCAATTAGCTGCGATAATCGATTGCGAGACGTGAGTTAGGGCCTGAGCACAATAGAGAAAATATTAGGAATAAGAATTAGAAATAGAAGTTAAATGTACTATACAATGACAAAAACTAAAATATAGGTTTTGGTGCGCTTGTGGCTCTTGGACCGAGAAATCGGTTAGTTCATACGCCAGTCTGTGTCTGAATGTAGATATAAAGAATGGGTGCGTTCAGACAACTCAACGGTTGAGAGATCATCGCTTATGATAGGACTATTCTTCAAAATCTGTTGCGGTTCCAAAAGTATGATCCAAATCAGAAGTGATTATCTCTCAACTGTTGTGCAACTGTTGAGTTGTCTGAACGCACCCACTGTGTAACACAGTGTCCATTAGAGCCATTGCACGTAAAAAAATTTTAACTGTAACCGTAAGATCGTAAGCAAATCAACCAATTACAGACCAGTATTATCTTCCATTAGTTAGAATGCTGACCAGCGATTGGTCAATTTGCTTATGACCTTGCGATTACGTCTAAACTTTTTCTACGTGCAATGGCCTTTAGTGTGAGAAAGAGCATATCAGTGTGTCTCACTCACACTAGTGGACACAGTGTTACACAGTAGGTCTGTTTTTCTTGCATACACTTTATACACTTTAGTGTAAAGTGTACACTTTAGCGTTTTTCTTGTCGGAAGTGACGTTGAGTTACGTCATGACACGCTGTTCTTCTTGAAAGTGTAGTACACTTTAATGACGTAATTTACACGTTTTGTACACCTCCTTGAGAAGTGGTGTAAAGCTAGTGTAACGTTACAGCTTTAGTTTGTTTATGTTTTGAATGTCATTTTAGAACTCAGTTGGATGTGATGAGATGTTCATCAAGTGAAGTAATAGGTTATTGTATCAAATTTTACATATATATAATAAGATATATGTTAAAATATGTTAAATTTATTAGAATACCATTCTTTCAATATGATATAAATTATAAATTCTTTAAATATAGTANTAAATTATATGTTAAATTATTAAAAATTATTTTGTTTGTGTAGTATTGTTTTGTTTTTTATTTATTTTTTTTGTATTTTTTCTTTTCTTATCGGATGACAGATCAAACTCCAAAATATGACCAAGCATTTCTGCATTTATTCTATTTATGTTACATTTGTAACAGTACAATTATTAACTTTTAAAAAACTAAATATTTTTTACTCTTTTTTACTTAAAAATGCTTAAAACTTCAAACAAGCAACACTATGCACAAATAACTGACTACGACTACGACTACGTTTACACGCACTGATAAAACCGTTTTAATAACAAATGTTTTCACGAAACTAACCAATCACAAGTATTCCTGTAAAGAATGAAATGACTGTGATTAGCCAGTTTCATAACTTCGGTTGTTATTAAAACGGTTTTACCAGTGCGTGTAAACGTAGTCACTGGAGTACACTTTTGTTACACTCTGGCGTTTTTCTTGAAAAGCATACACTTTACACGATGTTTCCCCCACTTCCAAAAAGTGTAGTGTATTAAAAGTGTAAGGTGTACACTATACACTTTTTGTGTATGCAAGTAAAACAAACCTAGTGTCGTCTGTGTACGTAGTTGGAAAGCACCCATAGCTTTTCGTGAACATGGTTCTATTCCGTGCTAAGTTTGTGGACATGGTTCTATTCCGTGCTATGAAAACACCGACGTGGTGGAGATACGCACACAAGCGAGAACCGTCGTCATACATCAATATAATATGTCTGCACACTTCCACGAGCGCACACGGACAACGGTCTCGCTTGTGTGCGTATCCCCACCACGTCGGTGTTTTCATAGCACGGAATAGAACCATGTCCACAAACTTAGCACGGAATAGAACCATGTCCACGAAAAGCTATGACAGAAACTCTTACGGCCGTGGCCGCTTTCAGGCTGCCTTTACATGCGGCGTAACTTGCGTAAGCGTAACTTGCGCCAAATTCCGTCAGCCAATCAAATCGTTTCATCTACTATATGCATATCCGCTTAGTTATTTAACGCATTTTACGCTTTTGCCGATACGCCAAATCCAATTTTTCACGTAAATCGGTAATGCATATGTATTAGTGATGTGTGTGTACGTGCGATCACCAAGTATTGTAATGTAATTTGACTCACGAAAATTAGAAAAAATGGATCAAATTCGGGTAAGGTAACAAGTTCTAAAACATTCTATATAAAGTTTCTAAAAATAATATATTTGATACTTGAACATAATTCGGTACATTGCTTGCACAGTACAAGATAATTTTAAGGTTATGCCTAATAATTAGTATTATCTGTTATTTGCATGTCTGGATTAGTTTTAGCACTCTGCTGCAGCTTATACATTTTTACTTTCATTTTTTTTTTTTTAATACAGCATAAATGTGNATACTGCGGATGGCTTTTTAGTTTCAAACTTTGTTGATCATGACTGCTTTAAACATTATATTGAAGAAGTAGACCACATTAGAATTGACGAAAATCATGTCGTGACAATACATATGTGACTTTTTAAGTTCGCTTCGTTCCATTAAATAAATGAAGTACTTATGTATATTATACTTAACAGTTAAAAAAAATCCAATGGTTGACAGAAAAGAAAATTTGGATGAACTATTAATCGAAGCAGTTAGAAGCAAACGTGGGCTGTATGATTCTTGTATACCTGCTTCAGAGAGAACTATGTTGCGCAAAAATGCATTATAGATGAAAGTTTCGAATATATTACAAGGTACATTTTACTATCTAAAAGGACTTTTCTTTTATTTTTCTTATCATATAATAAATAAGTTTTAAAATCAAAGTATATTATTTATCAAGGATTTCTCAGTCCAGAGAAAGCTAAAGCTCGATAGAAGTATCTGTGAGATAATTATATAAAAGCTCGCAAGAAGATTCGAGCATACATACCCAGTGGATCGGCAGCTACTGCTACTAAAACCAATAATAACTCGAGGTTTCAATATTATGAGCTTATGAGATTCCTGAACGAATCATTGCAAACACGACAGTAAGTTCTTATTCTTTAACATTCACATGTACATCACTTTTATTGTTTGGTAAGAAATTGAACAGAGTATGTCACATGTGTGATCCATTCATTAATAAATTTTAGGATAGTAAGTTCATTATCAGATGCCAGTGCTAAGAATGAAGTAGTCACTTCATTTGACACAGAAAATGAGCAACACAAAAGTAATGCTATAGCTGGACCTTCGAAAGCGCTTCACACACAGATTTCAGCCAGCAACAATTCTCCACAGACTTCCTTATGTGTTCCTTCACGGACGCCGACACCTACAAATATTTCTCTACAGTCGCTCGATTCTGACGTTTTTTCACAAACCCCGACATTCACAAAAGATTTTTCATCAACTGAAAATAGAGTACCTACACGAACACAAACTACAAAATTGAAACGTTTGTTTATTTATTAAATAAAAAGAGCCAATACGAGCCGTAAACAAAGTATCCGTGTTTAAATATTTTGTTCTATGTTTAACGTCAAACAATGTCAACAACGTTTTCAAAACGATAAAGATTTTAAAACGTTAAACATAGAATAAATCATTTAAACACAGACTCTGTTTACGTCTCGTATTGGCCTTTTTTTATTTATTAAATTTTACAAGCAGAAATAAATAATAATTTGTTTATTTATTTTCATTTGTCGGAGTTTTTATAATTTTTACAGCAAAAATGACATTTTAATTTCTTTGTAGAATCGGAGCAAATCTTTTTTGACGATTACGAGCCGCCTGCAAAAAGTAAATGTTTTTAAATTTAAGTTTTTTATTATATTGATGTACAATAAAATATTTCTATTATTAACATTTCGGAAAACAAGTCTTTTATTAAATATACCTACAGCCTAATAAAACTTTAAAAAATAAAAAATTTATTCTCTTTTAGAGGAATTAAGTACATGTGACAAAGTAGTAAATAATCTTCCTTACCTTCACGCTTTTTAATAGATAAAAAAAAAATAGATGTATTAATTCCAAACTTCAAAAGCTAATTAATATATATAATGTATATAATGTATTTACTTTATACTTTTTATCCGATAGTATATCCGATATTGTCAGTAGTTAACAAGACCGGTCTTATTTACTACAACTCTAACCTCACCGTGCATACGACTATATTACGCTTTCACACATTCTTACATGCAAAGTATCCAATTTCCATGACGCGTATTTAACAATACGCGTAAATAATAATAACCAATCGAGAAGCCACTTAGTATTTCTGCTGTATTATATAATAGAAGGCCTGATTTGTTATTGGTTAGCTTTACAAAAATCGTGTTTACGCTTTACGCGAATCTAATGAAATACGCGCCATGTAAATGGCGACTTTCAGAATGGCGTAACTTTTTCTAGTAAATTTAGTAAATTACTATATACGCAAGTTACGCTTACGCAAGTTACGCCGTATGTAAAGGCAGCCTCAGGCTTCTCTCTGCCATTAGTATAAGCTCTATGCCCTCAGTTGAGAGAGAGTGGTCTAGTTTCCACAGAAACAGCGTAAAATCAAATTTAAGAGTCGATGGAAACGCGTCAAATCGCGCTCATTTCACTTCTACTTCGATTTATAAGTACTCTACTTCCAATGAAAACAGAACATTAAATTTGATCTGGGGGTCGATTCTGTATCACGCAGTGTAGTAAAAATAGGTGCGTTCAGACAACTCAACAGTTGCACAACGGTTGAGAGATAATCACTTCTGATTGGATCGTACTTTTGGAACCGCACCAGATTTTGAAGAATAATCCTATCATAAGCGATGATCTCTCAACCGTTGAGTTGTCTGAACGCACCCAATGACAAAAGTGAGCGAATTCATTAAAATATCTATGATCTTATTGGTCAACACCTAGTAAATTAGCTCGCTTTTGCAATTTTCACTACATCGCATGGATACAGGCTGCGTTCGTGTTTTACTGGCAGTACTGGCAGTACTGAAAATTTCGTTCGGTTTTAGCTGGCAGCGCGCTGCGATAGCATCCTAGTTCCATCAATGACGTCATAAATGGAAGCCATATTTGCACTGCGATCACTGTAGCTCATAAGCTGCAGTGATCGCAGTGCAATATGGCTACTCGCAATGTAAACATGATAAAGATAACAATTCTTCTTTTTCTTCCGAACTACTACTACTTGTTTTATCTATAATTTCTATTATAGCTGTACATATTGCCACAATAGGTTTTTTGTCCATGATTTGGTTAATAACGTACTTGCAAGTAATCTTTTTTTATACTGTCACGTGAGTGTACTGTAACACCAGAGAGAAACCTGAGAACGGCCATCCTAGTGTAATTTTTTACGACGGTTTCAGCCGCTGGTTTTAGCCGTATTTCCACAAAAGTGGAACTCAAAGGCCGTTCTACATTAAACGCAAGTAGCAGATCTCGTGGAATTGACCAATTGCAGAGTCAAATCAGCCACTCGACCAACGTGATTGATCAGTTCCACGAGACCTGCGACTTGCGTTTAATGTAGAACGGCCTTTGAGTTCCACTTTTGTGGAAATACGGCTAAAACTAGCGGCTGAAACCGTCGTAAAAAATTACTATAGGATGGCCGCTCTCAGGTTTCTCTCTGGTAACACCGTTCGTTTATACACCCTGACATTTGCACTGGCAGCATTGAATTAATTTCGGAACGGCTACGGCAGTGCACTGTTATTACGTCACTTTGGCAGTACTGCCAGTAAAAAACGAACGCAGCCACAGAATCGACCCCTTGTACCGGAGTGAAACCGAATTGAGGGTTTCGGTGGAAACTAGACCAGTGATAGTGAAAGCAGAGAGAAACCTGAGAGCGGCCATCCTATTGTAATTTTTTACGACAGTTTCAGCCGCTGATTTTAGCCGTATTTCCACAAAAGTGGAACTCAAAGGCCGTTCTACATTAAACGCAAGTAGCAGATCTCGTGGAATTGACCAATTGCAGAGTCAAATCAGCCACTCGACCAACGTGATTGATCAGTTCCACGAGACCTGCGACTTGAGTTTCATGGAGAACGGCCTTTGAGTTCCACTTTTGTGGAAATACGGCTAAAACCAGCGGCTGAAACCGTCGTAAAAAATTACAATAGGATGGCCGCTCTCAGGTTTCTCTCTGGTGAAAGATGATAGCATAGACTTGTGAGATTGGTTCCCCACCGCTCTTCTTGTAAGAGAGAGAAACAACTACTCCAGCACTATTTCTGTCCTTTAATGTTGTCTTCAACTTCGTCATATAAATGGGTGTGTTTTGCTGAAGTTAGCGCTACGTAGCGGCTTCATGTAGCAGTTGCAACTGCTGCGTTACTTCTGCTAGACAGTATTGCTACGCGCAGCATGTTCTAAGTAGTGGCCGCCATTTTTGTAAGCAGTTGCAACTGCTACATGAAGCCGCTACGTAGCGCTAACTTCGGCAAAACACATCCACTGTGTTATTTCTATCGCTATCTGGTGGTGGTGCTGGTGCTGTTGTGGCTCAGTGGACCTGTTAAGCTAGTCCATACGCCATTCTGTGTCATATAGAATCTAGTTAGGAGCGGTGCTCCGATGTCTGAGACGATTTGTTGATGGTTAGGAGCGCATCTCTAATGTATGTTGAGAGGTGGGGGAAATCATGTTGGTAGAATATTATAGGAATAAAGAGGGGGTGAATGTCATGAGGTGGGGATACTATCTTAAAAAATAAGGGAGTATATGAATTAAGGAGTTAAATGGATTAGATAGATAGTTTTTCGCGGGTGACAAATAGAAGCAGAGCATGCATAGCACCGATGTTATCAGAGAAGGCAATGTTGGCCACGTCATATGGGGGGCTAAAACCATTATGGAAGAGATCTAAAACTAAGAGGTCAGAAGAATCTTTATGTAAGGGGCAGTTAAAAAATATATAATTGACGTCTTGTGTTGAGAAACCACAGTCACATGAAGCGCTCTCAGTTATAGATTTATCTGCAAGATGTGCATTAACGCAGGTATGAAACGTTCTGATGCGTGATATAAGAGACACCAAGAGCCTGGGTAGGAGTCGCCTGTACCTCTCATACCAGGGCCTGTCGAGTACGACTTGTTTCCGGGAAAAATACCTTACTCCCTTATGTCTTGCTTCCTCCAGCAAATAGTTTTTTGCCTCCGTTAAAGAACGAGCTCTAAGTTCGGGGACAAGAGATCCTGCCGGACACTTTGCGGAAACCCTCGGGTCAGGTAGTTCAAGTGATTTTTTTGCGTACAGATCCGCCCTTTCATTACCCAGGATGCCCTTATGTGCCGGGATCCAGACAAACTGAACCAGCACACCTTGGGCAGCAAGTGCGCAAACTAGAGATTTTATCTTGTAGATTATAGTGAAGTGAGTGCCTCTGGGATCCGAGGATGCCAGGCAGTCAAGAACACTAAGTGAATCTGTAGCAATATATGAGAGATTGAACCTGAATTCACTGATGTACTCAAGGGCACAGAGGGCGGCCTGTGCCTCAGCATCGAATACAGTAGAATAATTGTTTATTCTTTCATAATGAGCAAGCTCAGGGTGATCAGAATAGACTGCATACTTTACCGCTGCAACTCGGTCGCACCGGGATGGGAGTTTAGAGCCATCTGTATAAAAGACGTGTTCAGCACCGACTTTGTTAAGAAACTTGGACCACTCCAGGTGAGGTGAGGGGGAGGACCTGACCGTTAGTCCAATATCCAAGTCAACGGGACATTTGTAATATCGTGTGAAGAACGGAAAGGACAGTAGACCAGGTAGCGCACTGGACTCAACCTGCTGTGCCAGGGGGGAGATTTCTTTGAACACATCAAATACATCAAAGTTGTTATCCTCGCAAATCGGGCTCCACTGATGTATGAACCCACCGAGCATCGTATTCAACTGATGTCCCGAACGTGAAGCTACCCGATTAGCATACTTGCTGGTCAGGTATCTTTGTCTACATGAAAGAGGTTGTTTATTAGCTAAGTCGAGTAGGACGTTAGTGGGTGTCGTACGCATTAAACCAGCCGCTATGCGAATGCAAGCAAACTGAAGTCTGCTGAGTGTTAGACGATCTCTTTGTTGTAGAGGTGACACAACCTGGCACCTCCAGTCGAGGACTGAGCGTACCAGTCCTCTATACGCCACTAAAAAAACTCTGGGGGCACCCCACTTTATCCCCGCAATGGCTTTAAGTATATTAATACGCAGAAGCACGCGTTTGCGGGTCTCGGTTATGTGCCTCCTCCACCGCAGAGAGTAGTCTATATACACACCTAAAAACTTGACACACCAAGCTATTTGTATGCCGAAGCCATTTAGAGAGATCTTAATGTTGTTTTTATTGATCATCCACTTGGTGTTTCTCAAAGAGTTGAGAGAGTAGAAAGACGCGACAGACTTTTCCGGAGATAACTTTAGGCCTAGGTCTTTGAGATGAGAGTTGAGATTACCAAGGGAAATATTAAGTTGGTGTGCTACATACTTGATTGAAGGGTGAGAGCAATATATAACAATATCGTCGGTGTACATTAGGATTTTTACCGGGAGTGGTAAACACATTTCCACGAACAACAGATAAATATTGAAAAGTATTGGGCTGAGGACGGAGCCCTGGGGCACTCCTCTTGTTGTCCTTCGACTTTGAAGGGGAATGCCAGAGATATAGCCGTCTAGGTTCCTGGTCGAAATTACCGATGAGATAAAACTAATTAATTTTTCGGGAAACCCTAACCGGGAAAGCATTGAAAGCAACACCGAAGGAATCACATTATCAAAGGCGCCTTCGATGTCCAGGAAAACCGCGCCTGTGACCTGGAGGTTATTATTTGCTGCTTTAATGTTTG